TGATATTAAAATGAAGTGGTGTGATAAAGAGAACCACATCACTGTGATTGCATTACATAAAGTAGGTTATGGAGCCTAACACAACTTTCATAACCCTCCATACGTTTGGTCTTAATCAAATGTTTGTGTATTGATAGGTACAATGAAACTTCCTCTGTTTGTGATGGAAAAAGATCTAGTCGTCCACGTAGTCATCACCATCACCATCAACAGCCCTTTTACGTCCCCACTGCAGGGGCTCAGGCCTTCCTTATGGATGGTTAAGGAAGATGGGCCATGACCCTCCACGCTGGCCCAATGCGGATTGGAGGGTATTGACGACTGCAAATGCAGCCGGGACCAACGACTTAACGTGCCTTCCGAAGCCCGGAGTAGCTCGAGATAATAATTTTTAGACCGACCCGTGCGAAAGTTGCTTAACGATTACGATCGCGGGCCGCGGCGCTTATCTACTACGCCACCGAGCTACTCGTAGTGTCCACGTAGTGTTCGTACGAAAATGGCGATTAAAGTAGTGAGAGAAAGAATTCGAAGAAATCCTGTCCGAAAGTAAAAGATTTTTATCTCGGGAGATGGAGATAGCACCTAAAACAATGTTGCGTATTTTAAAAGATGACTTGGGACAGGGATGGTGTATCTTAACGTATCAATGTGCCATTTTTTAAAGAAATATTTAATTAATGTCTTTGAAGTGACGTCGAATAATTTTTGAGTTTATGATTATTTAGAAAATAATTACTACTGTAAACTTTGAATTTTGTAGTCGGTGACTTGCTTAAAATATTGTGATTCGTGCCATTGGTTTGCCACCCCTCACTTAGGACTTGCAGTCTATAAGCGATGCACTGGTCGCTTCTAAACAGAAAATTAAAAAAAAATAATAGGGTGGTAAAATGAAAACAACAACTTAAGCGGTACGCAAAGGGATATCACAGATTTTTTTTTACAATTGAGCAACATTCAAACAATGACCGTATTTATGCTCAAAGCTCTAAAAAACAATCACAATTAGTCAACACAGTACAATGTGGGCAATACCCGACTCCAGTGATGATTTGGTGTTATCTATGAAGGAGCGATCGAGCCATCAAAACGGCTCAAGTGTATCAAGATACCATTCTCGAAAAGGTAGCTAAGCTCTTTAAAAACACCATTTTCAATAATCAAGAATGGTCCTTTCAGCAGGACCCGGCGCCAAGTCATAAAGTTTGATCCACCTAACCTCGTTAGAAACGAAGTTCCGGACTTCATCAGAGCTCAAGACTGATCGACATCTAACCCAGGCCTTAATCTGTTGGATTATGATTTATGGTCTGTTGTAGAGAATAAGACTTGCACTAAACGCCATGATAATTTGGAGTCCCTAAAACAATCCATACAATTGGCAGTTAAGAATTTTCCCATGCGTTTCCAAAGTGTGTGTGCGTCTTTTGATAACTGGCCTCAACGTTTAAAAGACTGTATTGAAACCCATGGAGCCTATTTCGATTAAGATAATACACAACACTATTACAGCGTATTAGTATTAAACTAATACATTGTAATAGAGATAAATGTTACGTTCACTAAAAAAAAATTGATTTTCTATGTAAAATTATTTTATAAGAGTATGCATATGTTCCAAATAACTAAAGTTCTAACAAAATGGAAAAGTCGTGCTCTGAGAAAATCTCAGAAGAAAAGATAGGTAGATAGGTTTAGCATGCCATATTTAATAGTATATTGTGATAAGTATTTCATAGATTTTTGATTAAATAAACATGTAATAATACTAATCCATATTTAAAGTTAGCCTCAGTAAAAGTATTAAAAAAGGTTTGGAATAAATAAATTTATTCTTATAACCTTTTTTCCGCAATCAGGTAACAAAAAAGAAATAAAAACACTGACGATTCGATAAATTTATGATTTCCACAAAGTGGACCGAACAAAGGGTAAGGTAAGATACCCAAAGGGATAACACCGTAAAGGGATTACAGAGACGTGCAAACCCTTCAATATTAGTTTAATTGTTAATTTGTCTTCCTGTAATTATATTTAAAATTAAAATTAGAGGATGATAACTGGAATTACTTTATCAATTATGGAAGTTGGGTATTCTTTTTTCTTACCAGAAATTCTGACTTTGTTGTTATTTTTCAAGTTAATTAATCCGATGATTTACAGTCTTGATATGACCTATTTCTGTACTAAAATAATTTGTTTGTTGTTGAACCCTTGTTACTGTATCAAAATGAAATAACATATGACGGTAAATTTTCTCATATACCGTTTCTAGTATATCACAGTAGTACTTGAATGATCAATATTTGCTCGGTACCTATTTTATTTCGTTACTTAAAATGAAACCAAGTTAGCTCAATTTATCGCCGCCAAAACTGCCAGCATACTAAAAGTCACGAAAATCTATAGAGCCGTTGTCATTATAAAAATTGCTCGTTTAAAACCTAAGTCGAATTTAAGAGAAGATTTTTTTTTATAAAAATAAATAAGGAACCATTTTGGTTTTGCGCGGTATTACTTGTTTGCTTTCCAGCGTCGATATGTACTTACATAGTCATTCAATAACACAGATGCATATATAAAATTCAATTAAAATAAAATGATATTCGACTCTACCGTGCTAAAAATAAAGTAGAGAATTTCTTATCAACAAAAAATATATACTCGGCCCATGAATCATAAGGGTGTAACTAGATTACCGCTGCGGAATCTAGTTACAGCACCCTTTTCCGTCTTGATGCTATGTGACATGAAAACCACCTAAAATATTCGTATAACTAATCGCTTTTGTTTAGTTTATTCAGTACTAGTGAATACTGGATGAAATAGTATTATTTTTACGTACAATTTTACACTATATTGTAATTTAGCATTAAAAATTATCAAGTGTTAGTTCGTATCGAGCAAATTATGTGATTTTTTTTTGTTTTGAACAACGCCGTTTATCACTGAAATGTAATTTAACCTTTCCTTTGTACAATTAAATTTATTTCTCATAAATTATGGTATCATGTAAAATTATGTTTAACCTTACAATTTTACAATACAACTATGTACAGGGTTAACTCGAGCAGTATAAATTGAAACTGACATTTGTATTTCAATTCTCTATAATTAAGAAGCATAAATTGCCCTCACTAAAAACGCGCTTTCAAATTTTACGTCATTCTAAATTGTCCACCTAAATTGTGTCACAGAGTACCTACATAATAGCGTAAGACTAGAAAACGATTAGAGTAACTATCAAAAAGAAATTAAGCGCGACGTTGCGCCCACCAAGCCAAAAACAAAGTATCTAAGCCTATGTAACACCCTCACAATTGCCAGCAATTTGTGGTCACGTGAACCAACCATTACGTTAGACTGGCCAATGAGAGCGCGCCCTGTAATATGTTCCATGTTTAAAAATAAAAGTATGAAATTTGAAGTTCGTAATTTGTATTTCAAAGCTCTTTAATGGATCATAGCTTTTTTTACCTTTTATGAATAAGGCAATGTCGAATGTAATTTTATTTTTCCTATACATAAATTAGTAGGATTATATAAGTTTTTTTTGTTTATTTGTTTGAACTCGCTAATCTCAAGAACTGCTGGTGCGTATTGAATACATTTTTTGGGTTGAGTATTCCTTTTATCGAGGATGGCTATAGGCCTTATAATATCACGCTATGATATTATGTGAATATTCCACTTTTTGAGAGTTTTGCTCACGTGAGCTGCGTTAACGGTGAAAGGTACCTAATTTCGAAAATGATATCATGTATAACGATATTGATCTCCTTTAAAAGATCTAAAAGAAAGTCCGCGACAGCATATGTCTATCTTAAATCTTATGCCGAAAAAAGGACATAAAGGGATTAAAATGGAAGTAAAAGTTCGTATAGGGCATTAAATCGTTACCATAGCAACATTGTTTACAACAACAACATTGTTTCAAACTGTCGATAATTATGAATAATTAAAAATCAAAAAATACTTGTAATGAGCTACTAATTTTAGGAATAAGTTTTATCTAAAATAGAAGCTAAAATTCAAAGAATCAATCGGTATTAAGTAGCAAATTGGGCGAAAAAAATTCTGAGTAAGGACGTAACTAATTTTGTTCGATACCTACAAATTAAAGTTATCGCATTATATCCGTTGACAAATTTGAATTTGGCGTTACGCACTAAAATCTCTGCAAACGATGAATTGAGAAAGCAAGAATAAGCTGACCGTTAAGTTGTTTTGAGGGCCATTCATAGAATCTTGCACAAGCAAAGCTGTTTTAAGCCCTTACAATTAGCACAGTAATCAAATAACTAGATCCAAGTTAATTGGTAAAGTAATTATTAAACGACTTCAATAAAAGGACAATTTTTTTCAAAGAAAACTTTTTTATTGTATTTTTTGCAAGGCATGTCGATACTACTGTGCATTAAAATGGAAAGAAGAGCAACGACCCTATGACCCTAATAATATAAAAGAATCAGAACAACAAATTATGATATTTATAAAAGTGATTGAGTAAAAACATTGGATTCTCGGAATCTCAATACGGCTTTATTTAAAGTTTCTTTGGGCATTTGTTTTATCAAGCCTTATATATATCTAAAATACCATCATTTCAAAGTCAACATCTATTAATGAAAATAGACTCAGATCTTTATGTTCTGTCTATTTATACTATCGGTTTAATTGTAAGTCAATATATAACTCTCTTGACATTTACGGGTTGAATAGTAAGAGTACCTGCGTCTGAGATCTATTCCTAATCCTTAATGGCATTAATGAAAACTATAATCATGCTTTTAATAATTGTTTAATTAAATTGTCGAAATATATTGGGGAACGTATTTATAATCCGTATTCAGTAATACCAGTTTCATTTAATATGATATTACATAGGTAATTCACGGTCAGCCAATTTAAAATGAATTTGTAATATATTCGAAATTACTCTATGGAAATAAACTGCTATTTACGATTATTATATCGATTATGAATTTCAAACCAACATGGAGCACAGTAAGTAGTTAACGACATGATCTCATCTCACGGGCCATTTAATACAAATCGATCTATTACGGTAAATACCGACTATTATCATGTATTACTGAACGCTAGTCCGATCGCTGCGCTTCAAAACTAAATTGAGTTTCGAATTTTAAATGGCCGCTCCGCCATCTTGAATGTAATTTTGAAAAGAGAAACGTGTAACTGCTACCTTGTAACGCTTTTGATGTTCCATTTTTAAATCTTGCGGTCGGTTCCGAATATGGCCGCTCTGTTAAATCGAATTTCCATGTAATCAACATTGTGGGTAATTGCATATTATTATGGTCGGAAAACTTTGATTATTGCTCGCTTTAATAATATATTATGTATGTATTATAATTTCATATAGACTGTATGAGGAATTTGAAGTGGTATAATTTTAATGGGATTTTATTTATTCATAAGTTTTCGTAATTTCGAAAACTGTTTTTATTGTCCATAGAGTCGTGATTTCAATTACAAAGATATGATTTAAATGCACAACGCAAGTAATTACAAACATAACTATTTGAGCTTTGTACATAATTACTGAAATTATTTAAACGATAAAATCTCGAAATTAATTTTATATTAGGCTGCGATTAAACAATTCCATGATGGAATTATATTCATGATACCTACTTGTAGTAATTCGGTCTTCTATTGTATATGGTTAGTTTGAAAATAAAAAAGAGGTTAGAATTAAAAAATATATATATTAATATATTTTTTTCATAGATTGTCCGTGCGGCGTGTCCGTGAAATTTAACTTTGATTGAAGTATTTTGCTCTACTAACGATAATTGTATCACCTGCTTGAAATTGCTAATGGTACTCAGTTTTTAACCTACATTAAAAAGAATGTAGGTAAAAACTGAGCTATATAGCTGAGCTGTAGTATTGAATACCTAGTTATAAATACTATCCATGTATTTTTTGAGGAACTCTATTTGGTACCTCCATGCTGTATCCAATGCACTACGTTCCATTACCTATAAATTTAGTTTGGACTACTATATAACGTTCCAATAAACTGAAAATGAGTATACTATGCAATATTAATTAATGTTTTTTAACATTTACAACGAATTCAGATATTTACAAAAGAGTATAATGAAAGTATGAAACTATTATAGGACCTACCTATTAAGCATACCACAATTTAATGTCATATAACTAGAATGCTATGTGCGATCTTTGAGATAATACATACATTATTAGTGTTACGATATTATAAAGTGACAGTTTACGCCGAAAAGTAATTTTCACTTTCTTTGAGTATTTTTCTTCATAGATTCAAAGAAAACTTGTTTATTTTTTTCAGCTTCTTTCCCTATCACGAGGCGGATCGGGCATCCTTATCAGAATAGAACACCACCAAAGAGGAAGAAACCAAGAACATCCTTCACGAGACTTCAAATAGCTGAATTGGAGAAGAGGTTTCACAAACAAAAGTATTTGGCGTCTGCGGAAAGAGCTTCATTGGCGAAAACTTTGAAAATGACAGACGCACAAGTTAAAACGTGGTTTCAAAACAGAAGAACGAAGTGGAGGTAAGGTTTATCATATTTTAAATAGAAGTATAAATCGCTGGCAAAAATATACCGGAAATTTACCGTGGGCGAGTAATTTTGAGGCCCCTTAATGGAGCAAGAAAAAGAAAATAATCATAGACAAATTTGAATAACAAAATGAGAGCGTACTCATTTTTGATTATCCAAACTTTGTTAATTAATTTGGGCTCTTTGCACTTCGGCGTACTAACTAAATAGTAAAATATTAGTTACTAGATGATCCCGTGTACTTTGTAACACTTCGTCGTTTAAATCTGCCTTAGACTACCACAAATTTTTTAAAACCAGAATCTTCCAGCCCCAAAAGCCCCAGCCGTTCTCGAGATAATCGATAATATGAAAAAATAATACGGAATTCGCGATTCAATTATTTTAAATAAATAATAATAATGTTGTATGTTTTAAAATAAAACCAACATGTTCTTTCAAAACCTTCGTATGGTTAAATGTTGCAGTTTCTTAACCTACTCATTACCACCTTTATGGTGCTTCGACTTTATTAAAAGCTAGTAGAACCGCCACTAATGGTACGGTCACTCATGCGGCGACTAACTGACCACATGAAGTGTAAATGGCCGGGGATGAATGAGCAACGCAGAGGCAATGGAATACCTAAACTTAAAAGATGGCCGAATGCCCTGCCCCTGTATACTTTCTGGAACTCCGCATTAGAAGGGCCGACCCCAAGTAGATAGGATGACGCTAGGGGAAAGATTTTTTTACTGTTGCAGTACTAGACACATATATTTATCTGTACGTCTTGTTATACTTCAATGCGTATATTTATGACATTTAAAGTGATACATAGTAATTATAATAATCTTGCTTAAAAATATATTGTTATAAATACGTCCAGTGAAAGCGTTTATCTTAGCTTTTATGTTCTCGTTGAGATAAAACAAATGAACAAACTGTCCGGGTTAAAGAGACATTTCATAAATAACGTTACAACTAATAAGTAAGGCTCTACGTAATTTGGTATCAGACAAAACTATCTGTAAACTAATACATTAAATAGTTTAGATAAATTAGTTTAAATAGCTTTTCTTTAAATTTGTTGAACGGAGAATAAAGGTTCGAATTACAAATAAGTGTATTATTTATATAAAACACTTATTTATAATTCAATGTTAAGGTATCATTTAGATCTAATATAGTTTTATTAAATAAATCTCCACACTGGGTACTGGGTGATTTATACTCATGGTACTTAAACATACTGAAATATCACACTTTAAAGAGCTATCACACATATTTGGCAAAAACTCTTCATCTATTGAAAAGAAAAGAAAAGCCAAAAATAATAAAAATAGATTCGTATGCAGCAAAGAAATACAAAGTAAACGGTAAAGCTTTTGTAGAAACCATTAACTGATTAAAATTACCTATTTTAAAGTGAGTATTGGATATGGGGTGTAGGAATATTAACGATTACAAGCGCCAGGTTTCTAAAAATTATAAAAATACATATCATACATAGGCTTATAATAAAACTGATAAATGACAATAAAGTTTTTGTTTAAATATCAAAGATTATATAAAATGACATAAATTTAAAAAATATAAGTTAAGTAAAAAACAAAAAACTCATGTCTAGCGAGTCGTCAACAGATGTCTAGCGCGAAAAAAGCAAAAGTCCTATTGAATCCTATTTAGTCAATATTGAAATCAAGAGATTTTTGTTATAGAAATATGTATTTGTGCTTCAAGCTTGTCACGAATTAAAAGTAAAATGGCATTTAAAAACATTGTAAATTTCTATAATTCAAATTCTGATAACTTATCATTTTGTATAGAAAATATAATAGAAATAATAAAGAATATAATAAAAAAATACTAATAGAAATAATAGATCACCAATAAAAGCTTTTGTAAATAAATTAACGATTTAATCAACGGAACACGTGTTACTAGAAGTTATAAAATAGATTGACGTGAATTTTTAACATGCTACAATAGCTTTGCGGTAACATTTTAAAATTAATGTACAAAGATCGATACAGTGTAGATTATAAACAGTAGTGCCGTTCTGTTAAACATTCAGAGATGTACTCAACGTTAAGCATAGAGTTCTCAAAGGCTATATATACTGTCTACTTCAAAATGTAAAGTTTTATTTCATTGAATAGAATGCTGTGACAACGCTGTGTAGTCGGATTCTAGTGTATTTTTATTATAGAATAGCAAAGCTAAAATATTGATTATTATTAGTATTATGGCACAGTGGCTAGTGCGCTCGACCTGCGATACGGTTCTGAAGCAACTTTTGTAAGGTCTGTCATAGGATGGGTGACAAAAAAATTATTGTCTCGAGCTCTTGTTTCGGAAGGTACGTTAAGCCGTGATTACGGCTGCATCTGTAGTCCTTAACATCCATCAACCTGCATTGGGCCCGCGTGCTGGGTATACTCTCTAATCTATTTGATTCTATCCTTAGGGAATGCGGCCCCGCAGTAGAAATATTTACATGCTGGTGATGATGATTAGTAAACTATGTTTCGAATCAAAGAAAAATAGACTTAGTTCATTATTTTTTTTATATATCACAATATATTAAGCTAAGTTATGCAAATACGCGTTAACGCAATTATCGAAATTGTAATATTTTGCTGGACTTATTACTCATTACTAATTAAAAATAACATTTCTTGTTGTTTAAAATGCTATATTTTTCTGTAAAATACAGAATTCTAATGTCATAATCAATCTGAAATTCATATCAAGGAAATTAAAGTAACAACACATTTTTGCGTCGTGTTGTTGTTGTCGTTGTAGCATGTCGTTTCATACAATTAGAATGAAATGCAAGTATATATTTCTATCACGACACATCACAATATACAAAATGGCTCTCTATCTCTAACCATTTTAATGTATGAAACTAAAATAATAGAGATGATACCTGGGTAAAAATATAAATTCTATTCGTCACTCAGATAAACATAAATATATTAGAAATAATCTCTTGCTTAAATTTAACAAGAAATAGCTCAGATAATAGGCATTAAAGTTAGGTATGGGGCTCACTACGTCTCTCCCTACAATATATAAACTGTACAAAGATCTCATCATTTTAAATAATTGTATCGTAGCAATAAAAAAAACCGTATTCAATTTTCTTTAATAATCCACCTGGAGGAAATCAATAACATTAATACAAAAAAATATACTGTCGCGAGAGTAGTGCTAGTTTTACGCAGTCGACCTCCTGTTATAACTACACTGTGACATACTCCAAAGTCAATAAATTTCAAAGAGTCGTTTTAAAACTAGAATATAACTGACCATTTTCATATCAGCTCCGTGTTTCTTTTATGAGACCTTTTAAGGTAACATAAAGGCGTTTTATATTCATACTGATGTTATATAACGAATCATTAATTATACCACTTGATGTGTTTAGGAATGTTTCAGATAATACTTTATCTGTATTTTAACGATATACAATACATATCTTATTTAAAATCAGGTTTGACTTTTGAGAATTTATCCACTCTTGAAATGTATATATTTGTGTATTGCGTTATTTTGTGGTAACTTTTGTGTATGTATTGAAAATCAGTATAACATTAGAGCCTTTTGAAATAAGCCTTCTTTTATTTTCTCTTATATTCACAGACTTTAGCTTTTAGTGTATTTTCATACAAAAATCATTATAAGTTAACGGCTCATATTTAGATCCAAAGCAAAGCAAAGACTCTATATTGAACACTATTAAATATTTCCATATTTTACGAAAATCACATTTCAAAAATAATCAATCACCAAAAAGTAATTAAGCAATTTAGAAAAATGCGTTCTAGGGGCATATTATTGGTTCTAGGTAATGGAACCAGTGACATTCGTATTATTCAAAAGTAAAGAGTATTTCATAAAAACAATTTAGATGATACGTTAATAACCTTTTTTCTAAAATCTTACACAACGATACATAACAATCATTTTTGAAATAGGAATAATGAGATCGAATTGGTTTGCAGAAGGTATATCTATCAATTTGATTCGGCCATATTTTTTCATCACATTTCATATTTATTGTTACCAAATTCACCAAAATTGCCAGTTGCCAAATTCAATTTTTATTTTTTTAAGGATACCTACTTTTTTTTTATAAACCAGGACTTTCACAATCTAGAGTGCTTTTGATCTAATAAATTTAAGTGTTAAAAGTTTATAATGAGAACAATTTATCATTGTTTTACTTAATAATCACTAAAGCAGGCTATTCGTTTTTTCTTAATAATGTTCTATTAATATAACACATAATATTACAAAGGGAAAATAACTATTCATCTTTATTAAAGCGAAATCAACGAATGGCTATGTAGAGCGGAATCTAAAGATAATTATCCTGACTTCACAACAACGTCAAAAGCATTACCGGTCAAATTAATCAAGGGTAGTCACAAATCCTATCAGCCCTAGCTACATCTCCCCTCGACACCAGATAACCCAACTTTTAATAACACAACAAAACAACAAACAAGGAGCACCTGATAAAAGACCCATTAACGTCACCGGTTTATACAAAGAGACGGATGGGAAATCGACCGAAACTAAATAGAAAAGGAGTTTCGTTCTTTTTTTAAAAAAAACGTCTCTATTAATTAAGCATCGATTAATAACTCATCTTGTCATAGTTGTTATTGAATAGATCAGAGTATTAATGATTGCACAGGGAGAATAGATTTAGGTGAAATTCAGATTTTAAATAATGTAGATTTATTAATTTGTGTCAGTTTTGTTATGTAGTAATGAAATCTCAATGTTTTTGTTTATTTATTCGTGACGTAACATTATTTTAAAAAATAGGGTTTTATGACGAATCATTATATTTTGTAATGTCTAAAAATTGTAAGCTTTCTTAATACATTCCATGTTCCGAACCTTACTAGATTAACAACCATTTGAAAACGAGAAACATCGAGTACTATCATAGTGTAGATCACAAATCTCCCGCCAAGCGATTGTGTTTTTTTCTTTTCCAACAAAAGCAGTGGCATGGCGCCGCGCGTATCGAGCACGCTTTATCGACTCCGAACACAAACATCGCTTGTCCATTAGAACGTAATCGCCTGTGATGCCACCAACACACGACTCGATATGGACCTGCATTGTCTCGCAGTTTTGAATTTAGAACCCCTTTGGTAGTTTATGCGGATTGCATTGGTTGATAAATTGATAATGGCCGGTAAGGTGTGCGTAATTAAAATAAATACTTTTTGTTTCTATTTTGTTTAAAAAATTCTTAATAAGATAAACTTAACGGGATTTTACGTGGATTATCTTGGTGGAAAACACATTAATTGTATTACAATATGAAATGTTTTGTGATTAAAATAAAAATCATTTGTTTGTTATAAAAGCAATGTGTTTGTAGCTTTTTATTATTTAATCACAACTATAAAGAACAAATAATTAAGATAATCGATAACTAATTCAATGCAGTCTACATATGAAAAAATATTAAAGTGAGAATTAATGTAGATATTGTTTATAATAAATTTGGGTTAGACTGATATCGCATAAGTTCTCATAGCTTAGATGATCTTAAATAAATTGATGTCATACATGCTCCTGTTTGGAATTTTACGTCGTCGTCGGTCTGTTTAACCTTTGGGTGGGCATAACTTATTATGTCATAGTGTTATTACGTATGGTATAAACTCATTTTAATGAAGCTATGCTTTAATCAATTGGACAAAGTAATGAAGTACCGTGTACCATTATCAATGATGGATAAGGGGACCAGTATCAAATCCTGGCGTGGTAGGTGATGGTTCATATTAATAATTTTGACTACTGTCAAAACTACCGATTGTGTTGTTGAGATTTTTTTTATCTATGTTCGTTTTGTTTGTAGACTACGCTTGTTCTTTAATGAGTTCCGGTTTTAGTTGTACCCAAAAAGCATGTTCTATCTAATGTTAACGTGATTAGCAGCTCTATTGTTTCATCGTGACAAATATGTGATAGCCAAAAAGGTTATTGTGAATTTTGGTGATTCATTATTTGTTATGAATTTAGAAAGTAGAGTTTCTTAGCATTTTATACAAGAACTAGCTTTTGCCCGCGACTTCGTCCGCGTGGTAAAGTTACTTTGAGCAGCATTTCTAACGAATATTTATTTATTCGTTCCGTTAGGTACTGATAGGTTCAATCTAATACATTTACATCCTCCATCATCCCTTATTTTAACCTGCTTAAGCGGACGTCATCATCAAGTAGATCCAATCTTTAATTTCACTTCAATCAGTCGAAAATCTAAGAAGATTTATACAAACTGTCATCCCCTATTTTATCCCGTTAGGGGTAGAATTGCTCAAAATCCTTTCTTAGCGGACGTCTACGTAATAACATCTACCGAAAAAGAAATACTGCATGCCAAATTACAGCCCGATCCGTCCAGTGGTTTGGGCTGTGCGTTGATAGATCACTATGTCAGTCTACCAGTCAGTACACCTTTTGAATTATATGTATTTAGATAATTTGTTCTTATTGGTTTAGAATAGTAAATAAAACCTATTTACAAAGATATTTAGAATGGAAAATAACATTATTTGTTTGGAAATCTGAAATCAAACTGTTTTGTGAGTTAAAAAAAATAATAAAGTACTTAGTTAATTAAGTGTTTATTAACATTATTATGTCTATTTATACTAGCAAAATAACTTGGTATATTCCAAATATCTATCATCAGCGTCCAAATACAGTAGGTATCTATATGATTTTCTTTTTCTATGATAGAAATAAGAGAAACACAACATAAAATTTTGTACATTGATTAAATTTTTTTTTATAAAACTCAAGACTGTTTTTTAATATTTATTTGTATTTTTTACTTTTTATTAACTAGCATTTTGTAAGTAGTGACAAAATCCCATTGGTGTATATTTCGGGTAACCGGTTATATAAAAAGAAATATCACGGCAAGAGCAGATTCGTGTTTAAACTGTCAAATTCATCTAAATGATATCAAAACTTGTTTTGTTAATTTTCAAGTTTAAAATGGATGACAAAATCATGACATTTTAGGGCAACCTGATAATATCCTGTTGTAGCAATTTTTCATTCTAAATAAATAAATGGTAGATAGCTAAGCAACCTTCGCAATTATTTTATTTATTTATTTAAAACTTTATCGCAAGGACAGCAAAAGGCGGACTTAATGCCAAGAGCATTCTCTACCAGTCTACTAGACAGGACGTACGAGCGAAAAAAATGTAATGCGATTAAAGAATGCAGAAGTTCGATAAGAAAAAACAGAGGGGTATATTTAAACCTACAAACTAATAATAAACATACATGACAATAGGCTAGTTGCCAACTTTTTTTTTATTTCATAAATAAATAGTCCATTAACATCTGAGAAATAATGTCGAAGTAACAGCATGTCTGCGATTAATAGTTTCGGAGATACGGTGCTGTGTTTGTAGAACTGCTGCTAGTTGGCCGAAAACGCTCTCTACAAATTCAAGGCACTAAGTGACGTCACATGGTGGTACTGTAGCGAAAAATGTATGGGCGTCTGGACATTTTTTGTAATATCTTTATTATTTGTGCGTTTATGTTTATAGTTGTTATAATGAAAATTGTAACATTTTTTTATATCTAATTTAATGCCTAATGTATTTTAGCAAATTTTTGTAGTAGATTTTTTCTACTTTTTTCAAGTTTTCAAAGCGTAAAATTTTCCAAATCAGTGACTTAAAATTTGTTTTGTTAAACAATTATAAGTTAAAATGGTTCATATTTTTCGAAGATATAACAAAAACCTGTATTTTCACTAAACTGACCGGCCCTTGCGAATGTTTATAAACAACATTCGCAAGGGCCGGTCAGCTGCCGTCGTTAACACCGATTAATCCGCGCTGGACCCGCGTGGTGGATAATCGCCCATTACCCATGTTCGATTCCATCCATAAAGAAGGCCTGTACCCCTGCAGTGGAGACGTTAATAGCCCGATAATGATGAATGAATTTCTATTAAGTTATTATCAAAAATAAAATCCGTCCAAAATGTTGCTTTTTCTCCTCCCTTTTTAAGTCATTTCTTCTTGATATGCCACTTCTATTCTTATTCCTTAATCCAGGAATGTTGCCTTCTTCCAGCACTGCATTCCCCATAAATTCCCCTTGAATAACGAGATGAAGAACTCCGTATTTCTTATTTCGAATAATATAGCCAAAATAAGAGAGCTTGCGGCACTTGATGATGTTAATAAGCTCGAGATCTTTGCCCATCCCATGGAGTGATACGTTGGTCACCTTGTCGCGTCAAGAGATCTTCATAATTCGACGGCACACCCACATTTCGAAGGCCTCCAGTTTGTTAAGCGCACTTTGTTTTAGTGTCCATGACTCGACCTCATACAACACTACTGAGAAGTTGTAACATCGAACTATACGCATCCGGAGTCCGAGACTTAGATTCCTTTTGCATAGGACCTTACTCATTCTGAAAAAAGTCATTTAGTAAACTGAATTAATACATCTCTAATATTTTTATTAACAATCTATTCACATAATCTTAATAGTATTTCGGTATATTGAAATATATTCAACCTGGTCTGATATAGTTATTTCAAGTATTTTTAAGGTAAGGTAAACTACTATTATTATTACTGTATATAGACTTTTTAATTTAAAATTTCCCATTTAAAAATTTAGATACATCCGAAATGATGTACCTTTTAATAATAACGAAAAAAACAATCGAACATCGCTTTAAATTTAATATTATACGTTAAAGCTAATCAATCTATAAACAATGCGTAAGTGATAGTTACACAGCACTCCATCCCGTAACAATAGGCCATAATTCTTGATCTACAACCATTCAACACTATTCTCTCTTTATGCAAACTGATAAGGATGTGACATCGTTATTAATGATGCATCGATAATCTTCGATTGATGATTGCGTAATATTGAATTGGGATAGTAAAACTCGTTTTATGTTGCGTTTTTATTATCTGACACGGTGTGCTTTTTTGTAACTTCCATTTTATTTTAAGTACTAAGTGATGTATTTTTAGTCATTTTGTTTAGTAGGTTTTTGTTTTATATTCTACTTTTAAAACAATAACTTGATTTATCTTATTGAAAAATACTGAGATACAAACAACTAATAACAGTTACTTAAAAATACTGTATTTAAAGTGTAACGTATGAATCTTATAATTAGTGAAAAATCACAGTTTATCAAGTATAACATCGATTCATTTGCTTACACATTGATGATGACTTTAATGCATAGTATCTATTTTAATAAAATATTTGGTAGAATTGTCACTAATATTATTATCATATTTTTCTTTAAATTCCCATGTATTTTTTTCACATCCCAATTATTAATTTCTTTGATGGGGCTTTTTTATTTCTAAGAAATATCAATTGATAACCGGTATCAACGGCAGCTAGCT